TAGGATAAGGGGGATCTTGTCCCACCGGATTTTCATAGTAGTAGTCAAGGTATGGAAGGTCGAATTTTCTGCAATGCATGAGCTTTTTCTACCCTGGCAAGGTAGGAAATCAGGAATCTGTAATCAGGGTACCGCTGTCCATAGTAGTCCCTATATTTATAATAATTTAGGATGTCTCCTGGTAGGTAGAAATCATCAAATTTTGCTTTGACATCATAATATGGGGGCTCCTCAGGCAAACAACGAACAATCATGGTAGAAATACGATCAAGGCTATCAAAAACCATGTCCCTTAAAACGTTACTCTTGTAGGAACAGTAAAAACGAATCTTTTGAACATAATCGTAAGGATGTTCATTAGGTTTCTTTTAGAGAGTTCCTAGTTTGGTGAATCTGTTAGGTAGGTTCGGCATCCTGTAAAGAAAAGATTTAGAAAAGAATTCCCTTTCCCAAAAATAAAATAATACAGTTCTTGCATGAAATTGGTTCAACGTTCAATCAAACAATTTCTTTATTCCTATACACATAAATTTATATCCTCAAACAATCCAATCATGATTAAACATTCATAACCTAAATACTAATGCATACAAGAACATGATTATTTCTAACTTATATGCCCAATTTCTTTCCTACCCATTCTCACCAACATGCTTTTTAAAACTGTAAACACATAATACTTACCTTAAACCTTGCTTTCCTGCAAAATGAACAAACTAAAAATATTTTTAACTCCTTTTTAATTAAATTTTTTGAACTTAAATAAGAAAGAAGACCAAAAAAATTCGAACCTCCCTCTAAAAAAATAATTTCGGACCTCCTTCTTAAATTTTTTTTTCGGACCAATCAAAATAAATAATAAAAAAAATAGTTTCGGCTCAAAAAAAAAATCGGACCTTATTAAAATAATAATTAAAAAATCGGTTTTAAATTTAATCAATAAATATTTAATCCTCCCAAAATGAAATAAATAGAAAAAAATTAATTCGGTAAAATTTTTACCAATAAATAAGTAATTGGCAAAGTTTAAAATTAAAACACTTTAAAACACGTTTTTGGCTTTAGTGGTAATAAAATCTCAACCAAAGCTCCCAAATACCACTTTGTAATACCCTAGAAATTCCTTTCTTTTAAAATACCTGTGTTGCCCTGTTTAAAACTTTAAATAGGAATATCTAAGACATTACCGCCACCGTGAAAAAGGTTAAGGAAACTATCAAAGACACACAGCAGAAGACTAATTTCAAAACCAATCAAAACAAGTCAACTTAAAAACACAATCAATGAAAGTAAAGTCAAACCAAGTAAAATAAAATCAACCTACAATTTGGAACCATTATAGGCCCTTATTAAAAACAAAGCTGAACTCAAAACCTTTCGTGAGTCATGCATAATAATAATGTCATAAATAAATAAAGCAATAAACACATCATATGCTTATAGAAACTAGCATGATTCGCTCTTCACTCATGCCCATTCATGAATATGTTTCATCACTTGAAAAACTTCTCTCTACTTGTTTCCACTACTCTCCACTAAAAATGGGTCATCATAGGGACAAGATAAAGACGAGGCCAACAAACACCACACAATCAGCAAAGCTGAGTACATAAGCGTAATTAACACACTAACACACAATTTCCTATCAACACACAACTTACCTTGTTGCACCTGTTTTTCAAGAATACAACAACCAATAAAAGTTCTCACTAGAAACTACATAATTTATTTATTGTAGAATACGCATCGAACGGGTTTCCCCACTAAACCCCCCCCCAAAAAAAAAAATAAATAAATTGAGATTACTGACACGGGAGCTAACCGTGCCAGCATCAATAACCACTCATAGGTGGCGAAAATCCTGTGCATAATAATAATAAAAGGAATGTATAGCGTCATGTACTCTAGTAGAAGTTATGATCAAATATAAAGTCACATAACTCCCCCTATATGTTCATACTCAAGGTATATAAATTCCAAGAGTTTAGGTGCGTAATCTCTTTCACTTTACGTTATTTACAGATTATTAAACTTGGTGTTGACTCTCAAACCATAATCATTCCATCAACAATAATTATTCAATCAATCAAATGTACCAATTTAATTCTTGAATAATTAGTCCTTAAAGAAACTTGATTTTAATCCCACTTAATGGGTAATTAAAGTTCCTTAAAGAAACTTGATTTTAAATTCTCAACCAAAAATTCCAGCACTATATTTTAATTAAAACTTGCTGTAATTAAGATTTAAAACACTTTAATCAAATGTTTAAACCATTATACATCATAACCCTTTGTAGGGAATATTTCAAGCATTACCCCAAACTTGAACCCCACTGTGATCATACACTTAAGTACGGTGGCGTCCAAAGGGAAGGAATCTAGAGCAAAAGAGTCGCCAACAAGTTTTAGAAACATGTAAACCGTTAATAGGGTGAAGGTTTTATCCAGGAGATCGTTAAATCCAATAGGTCTGGAACCAAGACTGAAAGTTCAGGAATGAAGGTACAAATCCAACCTAAAAGAGATTGAACCTGTCCTAATAAAAAGCCTATATTTATTCTTCTCGTATTCATGTGCGCTTTTTTACTAACATGCAATAATTAGGTTAACCCTAAACCTGTTTAATCTATGTTGGTTGAATATTAATGCACAAACAAAACTATTATTGGCGATCACTTGAATTATAATCATATTAACCCTAACAAGATTATTAATTATCTTATTAAGCATGATTACAAATATCAATTCCCTTTAAACATGCATAAAAGGTGTGATCAAGCAATAAAAATAAATAAGCATCAAGCAACATAATAATAATCAATAATCATAATAATAATAATAACAATAATCATAATAAAAATCATAATCATGTTAAACATAACGCATAATATTAATAGCAAGACCTTAGGCATGATACTAACAAGATTAATAACAAACCCTAGCATGTCACTAAACATTAAAAATCAAAGATTTGCCCTAACATGATAGTAGGAAAGAAAATAGAAGGCATCATAGAAATCATAATTGATATAAGCAACTTATTGTTGTCACCCTAAACATCATACTAAGAAAAGCATCCTAACATGATACTTGGAAAAACATCCTAAACATGATACTAGGAATCAAAATAAAAACCTAAACAAGATTTCTAAATCACAATATCAATTAAACAATTAAAGCACTTACTTGGATGCCTCGTACCTTTTTCTAATAACAAAATACACGCGTTAGTAACTTCAAGGAAAGTATAAAATCAAACAATTAAATTAAATAATGGAAATAGAAAAGTTTAGACTAGATTTGGGACCAAACCCTCATAAATATCAAACCTTTCATGTCTAGGGCAAAGCCAACTTCGAATTATGCTAGGTGTATCTAGATCTTGTGAATGCGGAATTTTGTTTGTAAAAAGTTGGTTTACAAAGAGAAAGAGAGAGAGAGAGTATCAAGATTTCTTGATGAGAGTTGATGATTAAAAATGGAGGTTTTAGGAGGCTATTTATAATGAAAATCAGCCGGAATATGATAAAAAAGAATCAGAGTTTCAAGAAGAATAAAAAATGGCGTTGTCGCCACACACACCGACGACAGAGCCTATCGCCGAGCGATAGACGTGTCGTCGCAGCGATAGACGTGTCGTCGCAGCGACATGCCTGTCGCCAGGCGACAGCCTGTAGTGCGGCGCTGCTGACAGTTTTTCCACACGTTTTCATATTTTGATAAAATTTAAGCGTACGAGGGGTAAAACAGTAATTTCCTTTAAAACACTTATCAATGCTAATCACATTAGGAATCAAAAGAACCTTCTAGAAGATTCTAGAAGACTATAATCAATTCTAATTTCATTAGGAATGATAAATCATAATAGGTCCTTCTCTAGATCATTGGGCCGCATATAAAGATCAAACCGGGCCCAGTTTAGTAATTTGGCCATAACTTCTCATTATTCATCGGAATTGGGCTTATAATATATTGTTGGAAAGCTCTTTGCGAGCCCAATCCAAGTAAACCATTATAGGACCCTTTCCATGGACCAAACTAAACTAGACTGACTATTTTTATAAAATAAGTTTTCAAAAATAGAGAGAAAGAAGAGAATTAAAAACTAACCGCAACACTAGACTTTTCACAATTTCACTTCATTCGATTATGATTCGACATGAAAGATATTCATCATCGGGTTTTGTTTTGGGGAGACACAAATGGGTGTCTACACCCTTCAATAATTTATAAATCAAGAATCTATGGTTTTAAACATTGGGGCTTTTTAATTAAAAACATAATATGAAAATTAATTAACATAATACTCATAATCAAACATCAAAATCAAATCTTAAAACTCATAATTAACAATTAGATTTAGGAATAAATTGGTTTTTAAAAATAAAGATTCATTTTTTTCCGAAAGCCTTGGCAGCCGACAGCCACTATGCTGCTTCCGACGCTGGTGGCTGCCTACTGCTGGCGGCTTGCGGCCACCGTTGCTGGTGGTCGGCTAGTGGCGGTGAAGGGGAACCCGATAAAGAAGAAAAAGGGGAAGGGGAAAAGAGAAAGAAAAAGAAATAAAAATAAGGAGAAAGGGAAGAGAAGTTTACCTTGGGTTTTCTCCACTCTGGGCAAAGTTTTGATTTGCCTCATGTGTTGAATATAAATACCCCTTCTCTGGAAACCCTTTTTCCTAACTTTCCTCTTTTAATTTTCCTAACCCCTTCCCTAATAAAACTTCACTAAAAAGAAAACTTCCCTTAAATTTAACTCCAACTTAATTAAATTAATTAATTAAATAAACTTTCCTTTTATAAATATTTTTAAACTTATTTAAAATAAATAATTAAAATACTTTAAATAAAACAATTCAATCTACAACCCTTAAAATGTTTCACCTTGTTCCCTTATCAAAAGTAGCAACATGTGCCAATTGCATGTGTGAGTTTGCTGACATGGCAAGGGTGTAGCAAAGTTCTTACACCTCGATTTTATCACTTAGAAGTAAGCATGCATTGTTACTTTCTTCTGCAATATTTTACTTTTTACTTAACAGTTAGGAATCTTGACCATTGGCTTTTCTTTCTTCTGCAATATTTTACTTTTTACTTTCCTCTATCTCTGTAGTGTCTCTTCCATACGCCCCTTTTCTCTCTCTTCTTCCATCTTCACTTTCTCTAAAACCATCAACAATGAGCAACTTCTGAGCTTTCTCACCTCCATCAAATGCAGTTGAATTTTTTTCAAGTGATGGCTATCCAATTTAGCTGTGACCACTAATCAAGGCAATTCGCAAGTTTTCGATGTCGGAAACTTGCACGCTTTCTCTATCTCAGTTTGAAGGTGAAATGATCGGTCAAAGATTTATGTTTTTTGTTACCTGTCAGTTTGAAGGTGAGTATCTCGCTGCTGAGGTACCATTTCCTCACTCCTCTTTCAATTTTTCTGGATTTTTATTGAGTATATATGTAGATTTTTGGTGATTTTTAAGGACTAATGTTTGAGTATAATTTGGGTTAGTTAGAGAAATACCCAAAGTTCATTTTTTTTTTATTGTTTTCTACGGGTTATTTTTGAGCTTAATTGTAAATTTGTAGCCATGTAAAATAATCAATATTCAACTTTTAGCTTTGTCATCCTCTAACTCAAAGTTGAATTTTTTTCTTTCAATTATAATGTTCTAGAATTCAAAAAACCCTAATTTCAGGGGGAAAATCCCAAATTTTGAAGAAATTAAGAGAAGATGAGGCCTCGGAGGTAGAAGATCCATACTATTATGGGGTGGTTAAGAAAGAAGCCGCCGAATGTGAAGGCGTTTCTAGCGGTGGTCGCATGAATGGCGGCTCTGGCTTTGCCGACCTTGCTGAACCTGGATATCTTGTTGTTGCATGCTTTTCAAGTTCCTCACTATTCTACTGGTTTGTATTCAATTTTAAAATTTTGATTTCTGGGTTTGTTAAATTATTTTCAAGTTCTTCCATAACGGTTTAATTATAAGCTTTGTTGTTAGTCCAACGCTATGATATTATATTGGTGCGTGTTTTGATTCAGTCTTTCTTTTTTGTCGAACAAGAAAAAGAGGAGAGAAAATGCGATGATCGGCGGCAGAGGTAATGGTGGTGGCGAAGTTTCCGGCATCAAACTGCCGCCATCTAAAGACTGCAACCACTTAAAATATAAATGAGTTTGTTTTAAAAATGGTTTTATTTTCTGATTCAATTCAATTAGTTCATAATTTTGGGATGGTTTAATTCAATTTGGTATATAAAACAGGTTTCAGATTAATGTTACAAATCTCATTGATTTTAGAAACAATATAAATCTACTTCAATTAATGTTCATTGCACAAACCGTGTCTTTATTGTGGCATAGGGTCTGATGCTCAATGATGAGAATAGTTTTTGATGCTCAATGATGAGAATCATTAGATAATAGTTGCCTTAAGATACAATTGTTCTTGAGTGATATTGATATTGTCGGAATTTGTCATGAATTTACAACCTTTTGAAGTTGTTTGTTCTTTCCGAAAAATTGACAAGGAAGTATTTTTGGTGTTAGAAGTCTGAAAGGGCACACATTTCTAATTAGACTTAGTTATTGTATTTAATTTGACAAGATCAGAGAAGAATGAGAAATTATTCTCCTTTGTCGTTGTTGTAAGATTAAATTTTCTCTTTCAAATTATAATTTATGGACTTGCTTCATTCTTTTTGGAAATGCAATTGGATTTTGTGCAGAACCCATTATAGATATTCCTTTATTAGTTTGGTTTTAACTTTTTATTTGAGGGCTTGATGTGTTGTTTGATATGACAGGCAAGGTCAAAGTACCGGAGTTTTTGAATGGGAAAGGGAAAGGAGTAGAGGCTCATGTGGGGAAGCTTGAGTCTGAGTTTGGGGACCTTCAAAAGTTGCTTGTCGTTCGCACTCTTAAACTCAAGAAGCTTGATTTTCCATGTAAACATGTAAGTATTTCTCTTGATACCTTTGTTGTTGGGAGATTGTGCAATGTTAATTACATTGGATACATTGTTTACTGATTTTGTGCTAAATTATGCATTTAGCTCTCAACTTTGTTGCTGGTTCATTGTCTTGATTTCTTCAATTATATATAGGTAGCAATGGTGTTTATAATTTCAAATTTGCAATACTGTTGTCATTTTTATAATGGTTTTGATGGTAGATTTCATGAAAGATTTTAAAACTAATGATAAAAACGTTTAGAGCTTTAAACTATGTTTTAAGCACAATTTAATAAGATGAGGATGATCTCTAAGTGGTTGAGTTTCTGTATGTAGCTCTAACTTGAAACTGTTTAGAGGCCCAATCGAGCTTATTTATATATATCTTGTCTCTCCTCCATTTATTCTTACAAATTGATATCCGTGGTAGGTTCAATGTGGTTGTTACGTGCCATTTGATATACATTGTTTGTGTTAGGAATTTTATTGCTAAGCTAAGGACCGGCGTTGGTGTCTTCGTAGAGCTTGCTCAACAGAGACAAAATTCATCGTTTAATTTATCCATTTTCGTTCAAGAAGAAATGTATAGACTTATATTTGAGGATAAATTACTAAGTGCAAGTATGAGTATTATGTGTACCACATTTAAAGGAAATAAGAAACTTAATCAATCTATAACCCAAGTAAAAGCTACTCCTATATATTGTCAATTAATATCTTGGATTATATCTTACTTTGAACTCAAGTAGTGTGGGATTTTTTTTTGGTTTTCCATTGCCAATTTTCCATGCACGTGTTGGTTAAAGTTGATGTTATCAAGATACTTGAACATGCATATGCATGTACCAATATAGTTTGTAAAAGTGCATGCATATTCATGGAAAAGTATCCTAGACCATCTCTGCATCTCATGAAGTTAATTATATGTGTATATAAAGGAAGTTGTGAGATCGATCATTAGGATGATCTTTCCGTTACGGACTTATTAGTAAGATATGACTTCTTTTGAAAATTAGTTTTTGAGATTTTTATGAGTGACTAAATATGTATGGTAAAGAAAGTCACAAAAGTATCACCTAAATTTAAACGGATTAAGATAGTTAATATCACGCTATCGCATGCATTTATATTTCAATGTGTCTCGTTCAAGAATTATTAGAGATGTACATAACAATCCCCTTGAGACTCGACAAATTAGATAATTTATTTTGTGTAAACAAGCATATATATAATTCGTGTCGTTTGAGAATTTGTAATTCTTCTTGCTCTACGTACATGAGTTCTCTGCAATTCTGAAGATATTTCTTCACCATTGTGGTTTTGGTTTAGTCATTTTTTTTTTTTGAAATATTTAGGCATATATTATTATATTTTAAGTAGCAAGTATGGTATTAAGCTTATTATTTGACGTAATATCTTATTTTATTTATTTTATTCGTCTTCTAGGAAATTGCTCATACAGATTTGCCACCAACTTATTCCATCAGATTAGGTCTTGCGAACTTTGAATGTACGTATTTCACGTAATTTAGATTAGCTTTTGTATGCCTGTTTATGTAATTAATTTTATTCCTAGGTTTTGCTAATTGCTATACATTGGTTATATACTGATGCCTTTAATTTGACAATTTCCATGTGGTAGAGTATCTAATAATTCACTAAATTTATATATATTAATAGGCATTTAAAGAAGCCACATACTATGGGTGAAGAAATTTTAAAAGGACTGCTCTCTTATCATGCAACTATTGAGGGAAAACCTCACTCTCTGAACATCAAACCAAGAAGGAGAATGAGAGATTTTTTTTGACACAACGAATGAGAGACAGAGATGGGAGAGAGGCAATGCATTTTTTTTATTTTTTATTTTTAATTTTCTTTGGAAATAGCTTGATTTAAATAGCACATCAGTTTCCTCTCAAACACATTACACTTTAAAAATACTATTATTACTTTGATTTCCATTCATATTTTACAATCTACTTCGTAATAAACAAGGCATTTTTTTAATTGTTTTGATGTTTCTTATCATATTGTCAAAAATATTGAAAGCTTGGAACGTGACTTCATTACTGGCCAAATAGACAAACTATTAAGAATTGCCACCTAATTTGGAATGAACGAAAATATTCACATAATCACATTCAAAATATATTTCTAAAATGATACTTCGTATATGACAAAATCTAAACAAAAAAAAAAAAACTCTAAAAGTATTTTGCAATAAACAATAATTAAACCTATTAGCTACATATGCACTTCTAATTTAAATCTAAGTTAAACGACTAAGCAAATAATTTCAGTACATTTCACTACATTGGGAGTTTGGGACACACTCTTGTGTGTGACCCAAACTATTACAAGGTGTACACCAACCTCAAACGTAACTAAATCATCTTATTTTTCATAAAGGTTCTATCAAATTGCTTCGCGCGCAACGCGCGCATGGAGCACCCCTAGTTTAATTAAAAATACGAGGTATTACATGTATATTTTATTTCAAATAAAATACATATAAAAATATGAGGTATTACATGCAGTTTAAAATAAAATACGTATAAAAATACGAGGTATTACATGTATATGTCAACGTAAATGAATATATAATATGACATATATGAGTATTATTTTTATACGACGCAAAATACTAATGAAATTAGTTGAATATCAAATTTATAAAACTATAGATATATTCATTAAAACGCAAAAAACTGGAAAAAAAAAATCAATCAAATAACAACATTACGATTAAAAACAATAAAATCACAACAATACAACCAACTCCATTGATTAGCAAAACTATATAATCCAGCATTATATAAGTTATAATTCATACAATTAGCAATAACAATTAGGAAAACTATGAAATCTTTATAATCGAGCATTATATAATATATATTTCATACAATTAGCAAAACTATGAAATCAAAAATTAAAATCGAGCAATTACACGCGAAAAACAGAGCATAATCAAAATCCATTAATTGAGTGACAAATTACTAACATTGATTCATGAACAAGTCGAGTAAACCAACTCCGGGAGGAAAAATAGAATCACAGTCACGATCAAACAAAATTGAGCTAGAATCACAATCACGATCAAATGCATTTGAACTAGAAATATCCATGGAAGCAGAGAGAGAAATTGGGGGGAAAATAAAAAATTCAAGAGAGAGAAAATAAAATCAAATAAGAGACAAAAAAAGAGGAAATTAGGTTAGGAAAATCATTATATTATTCCTTGAATAGAAAGTTAACAAAACTAAAAAAAATGAAAAAATGAAAAAAAAATATAAAAATGGTAGAAGATGGAAAACGACATAGTAACATGGGGGGGAGGGTGTAGGGAAAGATAGCTAAACTAGAGTCTAGGGAAAAATTTGTACATAACTACTACTAAGAAAATAATAAAAACATTATTAAAAACTCACTTGTAAAACCCCTACTTTAAGACTAAGGTAAAACCAAGAGAGTACCTAAATAAAGCAATAAAGATAGTTATACGAAAGGGACTTGATTCAAATCATAAAATTAAAAAATCAGGTCCGATTCCCGAAATCGAGCCTGAAAAAATTGCCAAAACCAGCCCAAACTTGGGCAAGTTGATTTTGTGAGTAGTGCCATTTATGACACTCATTTAATGAGTATTGAGGTTGTTTTTACCTTCTTTTCATAGCTTTCTTTCTTAATAAATGCTTAGTTTATGCATTTTCTCTTTATTTCCCTTTTCTCTCTTGTTTTGTGTTTTAATGGTTTTTATTCTATTTTCTCCTTTATTTCTTTTCTTATTGTGGTTTTAGGTATTGAACGAGGTTCGGGTCTCAATATTAGTGGTTTTATAATTTGGAAGATGATTTTGGAGTAAGCTCATAGCATTGGAAAACTCAAGATGCAAGCGGATGGATGCTCCATGTTCTAGCTCTTGTGCTCTCAGGCCGTGCTCCCATGAAGAAGTGGTGTTGAACCCACTGTGGAGTCCATTTGAATATGCCATGCTTAGTGTCTATCATCATCATACTGCGTGCACTCAAAGACCCTTTTGCGAACGCATTAAGCATCGATGAAGTCGGAAGAAACACAGAAAGGCGCGGGCGCGCAGCCACGCGCACGGGCGCGCTACCCACTTGCGTGGGCGCGCAGCCCATATGCGCTGGTGCGCACCTCCCTTGCGCGGACATGCAAGCCCTGTGCAATTTGGGTTTTTCGGTTTTGCTTGGTTTCGTTTGGTGCCTCTTATAAATATTTATTTTAAACCCGATTTTTGTAAGAAGTTTTATACATAATCTTGATCATAATTTTAGCTTAGTTAAAAGTTTCTCTCTCTAGATATAGGGTTAGTTTTAGGAGTAGATTTAGAGAGAGAAAGTGAGGAATTTCATTGGGGATTTAAGAGATTGAATATTCAAGGTGACAATTGTATTAAAATTCTCCACATCAATGAGGATTTCTAACTCTATCTCATTTTATTTCTTTGTTTAATTTCATTTTTGTTGGTTTGATTTTTATGTTGATCTTTATTAGTGTAATTGTTCTTTATATTTTGTTGATTCTTGATTTCTTGGTTGTTTGTAGATTAGATGATGATTCTTGAGTAGTTGTTTGGCTAGGGATTGGGTGAAACTTGTATGATTGATTGATTGTGATTAATTTTGGAATTGTGTTGATTAATTGTTGAGATTAAAGTGATTAATTAAGTTTGAATGTTTCTAATTTGATTAGGCCTTGAGAGTTATGCTAGATTGCATTGTAATTGCTAATGACACGACCAATTGATTTAGGAATTGCAATTATCATTTGGTTTGGATTGTGATTCTCTTAGTTTGTTATTCATGGAGACATCTAGCTTAACTATTAGGAGATAGCTCTTTGATTCCAATTAAAAACTCTTATCATTATTCTTCACAACCTTTGATTGGCATGTTCTTCCCAAGTTGTTGCAATTGTCATGATTACTTGTTGATCCTCATTCCCTAGTGTTTAATTTGTTTGGTTGTTTGTTTTTTAGTTGGTAGTGTTACCTTTTCACTTTCGACTTCAACCTATCTTAGGCGCACATTGAAAGCACTTGGACATAACCGTTCCTTTTGGTTCGACCCTTGACTTACCTCTATACTTGTATTTAGGTTTGTTAAGTGTTTATAAATTTAGTTTAAGTGTTAAGTGTTCCCCTCATAAAAATGGCGTAATTTCCAGAGAACGGTGTCTATGTTTGAGTGTTTTTCATTGCTTGAATCTAGTTCATTGTACATACTCTTTTTTTTTATTTGATTTTTGCTTGTTTTTTTTAAAAAAAGATGGCATGTCTCTTGTTTCCTTAATATGACAATGAGCCTTTTGTGAATGTTTCAATAGATTTGAGGGACTTATTAATTATAATTGTTGTGATCTTTGGGAGTCTTGTGAGATTTTTTCTTTAGGTTTGAATGACCAAACTAGGGATTAAGTTGAATGCATGGATAATGGTGAATTTAGAGCATTGTAAATTGATGATGCTTGGGATTTTTATGTTTGGTTTGCTTGGGATATCTATAATAGGGGTAATCATGTTCCTAATAATGATGTGCAATGTGTTCATTCTTCTAATATTAGCATGAATTACCATGAATTGTTATATGTCCCATGAGTGAACATAGAACAAATGATTTCAACTCTATTTCCTCTTTTGTTCATGATGATGAGGTACATGCTCAAGTTGATGCTAATGGTGTGTTTCAATATTCTTCATTATTTTCCATGCCTTCTTATGATGTGCTTTGTTCCCTAAATGATGAATCTCATATGCTTGATTGTGCCCCCTCTCCCCTATTTAATGAAAATGCACATGTTTATAATGATGATGATCCTACCTTTGGTTGTGACCCTTCTTTTACTCTTGATCCTCAAACCTCTTCACCTTTTCATTCTCCAAACTCTTGTGATGAGTCTCTAATCCCTTATATCCAAAATAATGAATCTTTGAGGGAGTTGGAGATGAATCCTAATCTTAGGCTCTTGGAGAGACAAATGATGGAAACTTTAAGGAGCTAATTGGAGATAATTAGAGAGCGTGAAGATCTTTTTAGTGAAGAATTGAAAAGAAAAGAAGAGTTGGAAAATCAATCGTCATCTTTGAGGCTTGTTTGTGAAAAATCTCAATCTAGTGTTTGTATTGAGTATGATGAAGATGATGATTTTGAGCAACAAAGAGAGAGTGAGGATCCCATTAGAGATCATTCAATTGATGGTGAAGGAGTTGGGAATGAAGCTAATGTGGAATTTGTGAACGTTAACTCACTCTACCATCTTGATGAGTCTCAAGTGTATGTTTGTGACCCTTCAATCTATGAGTATATGGACTCTTTTGAGGTAATGTCCCATTTGTTTTTTTAGAGTCATATGAGGACTTATAGATTTTTAGATGACTTCATCGAGAACACTTCTTGGGACTTAGATAAGTTTGAGATGAATCTACCTCCATTCATGCACGGTTTTGAGGCCTTGGGTTTTGAGATAGTTAAAGGAAAGATTTTTTATTGTGGTGGAAAGGAGGTTGAGGTGGATTCCCTTGGAGTTTTTGAGCTTGAGGGAGGTGTAGATTGTCAGATTCTTCATGTGAGGACTCTATGATTGATTTTTATGCTCTCATTGGCGATGTGAGACCTTGTGGTAAGGGTGTAGCTACCCCTTTTCCGTTTCTCATACCCCTTTTTCTCACTGGTTTGCCCACATCCCTCCTTGCCCTATTTTTCTCCCTTCCTATCTTAAAGAGCCTATTAGGGAGCCGTCTTTTATGGATGATTTTCATGTCCCTTATTCCACCATTGTTGAGGAAGAGAGGAAATATGCCAACCAAAAATTTGGTGAGGAGGGTTTTCCTTTTTCCTTTTATTTTCTTTCTTGTTTTTGTTTTTTTTCGTCTTCTTATTTTCTTAAATTTCCTTTTGACACCTCATCTTCTTTTTTTGGCATCTCCCTCCTCACTTTCGTGCAATGATCTTGTTGCACGTTCTTATTCTGTAATTTGCCTATCTTCACCCCCATGAAATGTGTAATAGTGCATTTGACAAGCTCTTGCGTGCGTTAAATTATTATTTCTTAGAGCGATCTCGCTTGGACGTTAAACAAGCCTTTCTCAGGAAGTAACCTGTGTTTTATTGCTTTCATTTTCTTTTCTTTTTAGAATAGTTTTTCTCTCATGGAAATGTTTGTGTGCCTTTGCTAGGTACATGACTTGATATAGTTTGGTGCATTGGTTTGGATCAAGAATTAAGGAAGTTTGACTCTTATATTTGCTAGCACATGGAAAACAAGATTCAATGATAGAAGAAATTGGCTTTGAAAGGTTGAATTGGGTCATTTGCGGGTATTTACACCCATCTAAATCCGGTAATATCTTTCCTTGCTCTTTCCCTAATGGTTGATGCCTTGTTGGACATGTGTTGGTTTGTTGGATTGATCTCTTTGTTTTCCCCTCTCATGGTATCTATGATTTATGTTTGAGCATGTTGTCTCAATCAAGCTTGGAGGAGGTTATTCTATCATGTTTGGTGGGATTTTGATTCATATATTCCATGCACGACTGAATACGCATTTCCATGTTCATTTGTTTTTTGAAAAAATCCAAAAGGATTTTTTTGGTTTCAAGGCAAATTTGCACTGTGTTTTGTTTTGTTCTTGCTTTGGACATAATACTTTTGGAATTGTATAGTTGAATGCTTTTCTTCTTAAATGGTAACGGTGTTCACGTTTTGAGAGTATGTTTGGTTGATTCTAGGATAGAGTATGCTAAGGTAGCGGTTTAGACCTTTGGGGGCCTTGTAGCCGGATTTTGTTTGCTGGTTTATGGTAAGATGTAGTTGCTCCCTTTAGTTGATTTGAAACTAATAGTGTGTTTTTCCTACAACCGTGTGAGGTTTTAATTCTTCTTGCTATCAACATTTCTTAGATGAGCGGCACATGAATCCTTGACAAGTGTATGCTTTATCTAGAATTTGGCTCTCATCTCCCGAGATCGCGACCGAGCCATTTAGGAAAGATAAAGGCATCTTTTCAGTGTGGTAATTTTTACTTCTCTAATTAGGATAGTTTTCTTTTCTTTGTTTCAGGTTTACATTTGCCTTCTTGCTAACCATTTGAACCTTATACCTTTCTTTTCAAGACGTATCTTTACCTTTTGAGCCTTTTGTTTCATTCTTAATCCCATCTTTGGTTTTTGTGAAGCATTTGGCCTCTATTGTTGGAGTTTTGGTGGATGAAATGGATTGTATGGTTCTTTTAATGTAAGCAAGTTTGTATTGTAAATATCTTGTGAA